ACACACACACACACACACACACACACCACAACATTAAACCCAGAAAAACTGTTTTAATGTAATGGACCTTCATGCAAAGCTCCACTGCTTTTCTCTGCTGTCCATTAGCTCATAGGCACTCAACTCTATCAAGATTTTAATGGATGTTAACAGGCACCTTCTGCACAACAAGCCAACCATAAGGCTGTGAATTCACTAATGATGGCTCATCTGCCTCTTTCTATTTTGATCTCTTGATATCCAGTCGCTCACTGAGACAGGAAATAATCAAATAATTATAAAATAATGCATTAAAAGTTAGAAGATTGATTATTTTCCTCCAGTCTTTCCCATTAAAACACTGAACTCTTTTATGCATCCGCCACAGTCAGAAACCACAATCTACTGGTTACACGTTGTATTAGGAAACTTAAAACAAAAGCTATTAACGTGTAAACTTCAATACGTGACTGAGAAGTTCAGTTAAACTGCTGTTAAACTCATGTAAGACAAGATTTATTCAACTGTGTTTTATGAAAAAATTTAAAACCACATACATTTTTTGATGGAGTACATAAGTGAAAAAACCCTGGAAAAAAATCAAGGAAAACAATTTAGGGGAAAAACAGTAAGGAAAGCAGGACACAATTAAGGCTTCATAACTACATTTTCAAACTAAAACGAACTCTGTCCATACAAGCGTTTTGGCATCTACCTGTTCATACTAACAAGCCTGATAAATCTGAAGACCGCTCACGTGCACTGGGCATTCACATGCTGGTGTAAACATAGGAAAACACCAAATGAGGGAACAGTCCGCTTAAATTAAAACAATCCTTACAGCTTAAGCCACATTACATCTCTACAACACATTGGTGATAGCACATACTTATCGATAACAACCACCTAAATATGTTCACATTGAGAAATCACCTTATGTTGCCCTATCTCACAATGTTTAAGCCTCTTGATCGGCACCAACATTTCATGGGTTCTCTTCCCTGACCAATACCGCATCCTTGCACCAAGTGTTTTGTGGTAATCCATCCTGTACTTTTTGCCTAATCCTGCTGATGAACAAACAAACGCGGATGAAAACATAACCTCCCTGACAACAGTAATGATTTAGATCTTATCCTGTGGTAGAGGTAACTACCTCCTTGTTAGTGGATGGGACACAAACCAACAAGTCAAAGTACACCTCAAACATTTTCCATCTTTATATACACTTTATGGTCTTCTTCCAACTTCTCTCATCTTCTCTAGATGTTGGCTCAAAGAAAATTCCTATATTATCTTAAAATATAATTTTTGTGACATTTGAAGTAAAAGTAAAGTAAAAACGCTTACTTTGTGCATCTAATGTTCATCTTGGTGGCTTGGTCTTATTCTTATCATCTCTGTTGGTGTCCCAGTTTGTTATAAGAGTGCAACAGTGACGCAGCGTGGTCAATACCAGACCCAATAAACTGAAGGAGCTAAATGTAATTTTGCTTTTTTTTTTCTGTGTTACACAAAGGTAAAATCTTCCATAATAGCAAAGGCACAAAGTCTATCAACATATCACAGCAAATCCCAGTGACAACAACTTGTATTGATAGTTCCTAGGTCATAAAAACTCAAAATGAAACATATTGTACATACTTCCAGTTTGCAGGTGGCTGAGATTCACTGCTGAAGTGTTAAAAGAAACTCAAAAGCGTCAGTGAAAGCCAGCTATGGCTGTTGTGGTGGATAGCTACATTAGGCGCGCATCTTGCAATCTTCCTTCTCACTCTCCTGCATGAAAGGAACAATGCTGACGAGTTCAAGACACCGCAGAGATAAAGATAAAGGAGAAAGCAAAAAGCAGAGAGAGCAGCCGACGGCGCAGAGATGAGGAGGAAGGAACCGTGAGTACCTTGAAGGTCACTGAGTTTAGCATGCCTCACATAACCTGCATTCCTCGTCTACTTCCATTTCAGCTTTCTGACGGCTTGGCCCAATTCTCACTTGAATTGCGCGGGCATTTAAAAGCTGGACAAAAAGACGGAGATTAAAATGAGTAGTTTTCCAATGAACCGAGGTTAATGTGTGTAAAAGTACAAGTATTAACTATATGTACAGTTAAGTGCTACATGTATCTTCTGTGTGACAATTAAAGCTCTAAGAAACAAATTAAATCCCTTTCTTCTGAATCACTCCGTGCGTGCATGTGTGCTTGTGTGTGTGTGTGTGTGTAAGGGCAGCACTATCGGAAAGAAAGTGACACGAGCACTCTGAAGTCTC